CTTTTAGTCTTTCTGTTTTGGTGAAGAAGGAAGACCAGCGAAGCTGTACTATGGTGGGAATGAAGTAAGGGTTGCGATGGCGGCAAGCGGACAACCGGCAAACACAACACTCTGGACGGCTACCCCCATCTATGAGCGACGGCAACCAGAGTTTTGTGTCGACATTTCTTTGCAGGGGACGCGATCATGGGGAAACTAGCCCTTAACAGCTCCGCTGTAAAAGCGCCATCTGTCGTACGCAACGGCAACCGAAAGCGGTCCACGGACGATGGCGTGTTAATTGACATCAATGGATCCGATAGGCGAAGAATGTCCGGGGCTCGGAAATCCCTCGACCCAAGCTTCGTCAAGTGCGCGCGCTGCTCGGTTTCACGATTGATCACTTTCGCAGCTACGCACTTGCAGCCATTACGAGAGCGGCTTGGCTCGGTTTGACTTAGCCCGACCTCTTGGCGGTAAACGAAAATTAGCGTGGTGAGTTGGACGCAATTCGAGACGTTATGGGGGGTGTGTTCATTATGTGAGTGTGTTCATTATGCGAGTAAATATGGTACTTCCCGTTGTGGCACTGCTCTTGCTGATCTGATGCCGCATTACATCGAAGCTTCAGACACGCAATAATAAAAAATCTTTTAAAAAATATACCGTAAAACCCCGCATATAATATGAACCCAAAAACAAAAAACAATTTAACACTAAAAAAAAAAAAAATGTTTTATCCGTGAGTAATGCGACCCAGGAACACTACTTTTATGAAAACACTTCTTTTGGCTGTGCCCCCTTGGGACCTATTCACTGTCGTCAGTGCTGTCCCTAATCCCCGTATTCATTATTTAAAGGACCATCCACCGCACTCCCAAGGTATACCCAAGGTACTCTCCGATTTTCACGCTACCATGTAAAAGAACGGCTTGAAGTAAAGACACCCTGGATTCCGACCGTTCTTCCATTTTGACGAGGCCGGCGCGGGTTCAAGCGGAGCACCAACCCCTAGTCCACCCCCTTATAAAAAAAAAATAAGAATAAAAGAGGAATTGAAATATGCACGTAAACAATGCGCACAATCTTGTATAAAAAATATGTAAAAAAAAAACAAAACACAAAAGCTTGGCGCTTTAAGTGGATTCGAATTACCGCCACCGAGACGTCAGTATCGCCAGAGCAGCGCCTTATACCGCTTGTCCACGAAACGCGCGGAGTAACATATGTTTGTGTTTTTTCATGTGCACTACTTTAGTACCTTTCCCAGCATTGCACGCTATGTATGTAACGGAGTATAGGTACACTGGCGTTTGGTCGGCAATGCTAATTTGTCACAACTGAATGTTGACAGACTTTCGTAGTCCCAGAACGTGGCACTGAAACGAAACAAGCAAGCTCTTCATAACTTTCGGGCAGCTTTTGAGACACCAACGTTCGCCAACGTAGCGAAAACCCGGCGTGGCGCACAAAGCGGGAGACCCAACGCTTGCTCGCCTTGAGGTCTGCTTGTGGTATGCCTTTTTCTCTTGTGAGTTCCCTAGCTTTTGCCTGCAGCAGCTCGATGCTTCGGGCGAGGTGAAACGCTCGTTGCTCCTTGACGAACTGGGCTAGGTCTCGTTCAATGTCGGCAAACTTTCCCTCTTTGGGCCATCGAAAACGTCTTCTTGTGCCCTTGCAGGCGAAAAGGGCTTCCTTTTGTTTCCCCCATCCACGAATGCTACCTTCGTTCGCCGTAAACTGCCGTCCCGCTGCACTGTTGCCGATACTCTCGGCCACTAAAATAACTTTTCTCTCGAGTATTGCTTTCTTGATGACGCCATTACGCAGTGGGATCACAGGACGTAGTGCAGGGAAAGCGGGACACAGAGGCGAAGACAAAAGAACGAAAAGACACTGGCGACTGCGTAGTAGCAGTGTTGCCAACTCATAAAGCAGAAAAATAGCTAAAACGGTAACCAAAAGTAGCTAAAACGTCAAGACTCTAACCACCGTTCTGTTTGAGTCAAAAGGGCCGAACTACTTACGGCGAATTCCACTGGGCGTTTCGGAACGCGCCGGGATCAATTGACCAGATCCGGAATGGAGCACACAATACGAACGGGGTCGCACCGCCTACAGATCCCCAGTGGAACATGACCCCTCCAAGAATGGCGGATGCCTTCCCGTCATTCAACTGCCCGGGACTTCCCTTTCCGCAGCGGTCGTTTCGAAGATAATTTCGCAATCGCGGTGCTAACACGTGTTCGACGCACGAGCGGCAGGAATGGCTCACGAGCTTCTAGCAAAGATAGCCAGAATGCCCGTAGTGCGGCAAAACCTTCTCCTTTTTGGAAAACGAACCAGTTGTCGAGCCAAGGGGTAAGCAAGCGGCCATTATGAATTCTTCTGAGGCGAGATGGGCGAGATCAGGCGAGATGCCCCGCGAGAAAGGAAGTCACGCATGTGCATCGAAGGCTGGCCCGGCTGGCTTCCGGTTGAATCCGCCGAAATCGTCGGAGCGACTTTTCTCGGATCCAGATTGAGATCTGGAGCGGGAGCTAATCTTAAACGACCAGTGGAACATGTCCGTCTCGATCCCGATCGCCCAGTGGAATAGGCTCGCTCCAGAATTCGATCCCGGCGCGCTCCAAAATGACCAGTGAAATTCGCCATTAGTTAAAATGGACCGCAAAAAGCGGAGTCTGGTGGCGGCGCTACCGTGCCACTAACTGTTGCTGATGACGATGGTGGTGGTTGGAACCGAAACCATGTTCGTATGTACCCAAAAAAGCGTAGAACTGTTCGGATCCGCATATAATACGAGCGCAAATTTCACATGCTAAAGTCGGGGAATAAAACTTTGTATTACTACATTTACTTGAATAATCAACACACTTTTTTTCCTGAAAATTTACAGATATTTCGGGGGAGCTGTGTTCATCACGCTGGGTAAAATTTTTGCATTTACACACTTCGCGCAAATGTCATTGTAGGTGCCAATATGACACGGCAGGGTGCTGTGGCACCTCTCCAATGACAGAGATGCACCCACGACTGGTCGTGGGTGCATCACGGTAAACATGCTCTAAAAATTGCAAACATTTTTTGGGGCGCTTTTGGCATGCCTTTTGCCTAAGGAAAGTGCCCCACGAAGCTCACTCAGCACGGAGAGCGACTCAACCATTCTTAGGCCTCACCCCCTTCACTATTTCTCTGTCTGAAGCAGACCACAGACAATCACGAGTTTGTTGACACCAATGCATCCCATGTGCGAAACATGTCCGGGGCTGGGCAATTCCTCGACCCCAGCTTCGTTAGGTGTGTGCGCCGCTCGGTTTCACTGTTGATCACTTCTGCAACTGTGCACTTGCAGCCATGAGAATGTGTATTGCTTGGCTTGGCTTGACGTGGCCTGGCCACTTGGTGGAAAACAAAATGGCTTGATGTGCTTGGTGGCTAGCTGATTTGGACGCAGTTCGAGACTCGCGGACCCACAAATTGGAGGTGCCCTCATTATGCAACGGGATAACAAAAAGCCCAAATATTGATGCCCATTGTTTGTGGGGGGGGGTGCGTTCATTGTGCAAGTAAATACGGTGTATGCGGGTCTTTACGGTAATAATTTTGGGAAACATTTTTCTTTTACGTAAAAAATGTTTAAAAAAAGCAAAAAAAGAGAGCCAGTTATTTAATTAACGAGCTTATTATGTTGATTTCTGCAACATACGGTAAAATTGACATTAATCACTACAACAAAAGTAATATTAATTACACTGCACTTCATTTCGTTGACAGTTCAAGTGGAAGATTTAAAACACTACCACATCAGATTCACTAGTCCATCAAAAGAAAAGGAAGCGGTGCGGTAACGAAGCAAGGGAGAAAATGGGAGGAAATATAGAAGCGATTTTGGTTGTCTGCTGCCTCTATCCGTCGTCAAACTTAGCTTTGCCATAAAAGCATGCACCAAATGAGCATTGTTCTGCTGCTCAGTATAATTGTGCAGCAATCCACACTGTCGCAGCAAGGTTGCGACAGTGTGGATGGTCGGCGCTGAGCAGGTCCGCGGCGGTATGGTTGTTCGACCACCGAGAAAGTATTCGACGGAGAGGGGTGTCAGTGCTTGTGAGTGCTGTGCGTCATAACAACACTCAAGCCACCACGAATACTCGACCCCGACTGGCGGCGCAACGAACCGGACCCCCACCGGCATCTTGGGACCCTGACTCGGCTCTCCCCCTCCAAAACTGTATGACAACCTCGATTTGACTTTTGATATTTTTTTTCTTTCCTTTTTTCGACTGTGTGCACGTCCAGTGCGCCTTTCCCTTACTTTTGAATTATTTTATATAAAATACTGTTTGTAATGTCGGCATGCTTTGCTCTCAATTCCTCCCGCCTCTCAGGAAGTCTATCGCCAAGGTGTGGTCCTAACACCTGGACAGCGGTCCAAGTCAAATCCCAAATTTGTTTGTTTAAATGGGACCTTTAACATCCGAACCTGTGACAGGTGGCTTTTTGTAAGCATTTAATTCAGTTCGAACTGTTTTCTTGCTTTTTTTCTACGGAATATTGGTGTTTGTGAAGTCCTTCTTCAGTCTGCTTCAGATTGAAGCAGAGAGATGAGCTCCGAAATTTGGTTTCCATATACTGCTTTCAGTACAACATACTTTTAAAGTACTTCTTAACACTGTCTGCACCCTTATCAATGAAATTCAGCCATCCTTGCATACCACACCTCAAGAATGGTTTTTATTAATCAAAAGGTTAGATCTCTTAGGTACCCCATGCAAGTAATGCACTTCATCTGAAGCATCTTTCAGGAATAATAAACGGAACTGCCTCCATTATTAATGAAATGATCCTATTGCCACTAACATGCTAATGGATTTACAGGTATTTTCAGAAGCTTGAAGCTCTGCATGGAGATAAGTGATACAGTCTTCTAAGGTACAAGGCACAGAATCTTCAATAACCAATAACGCCAACCTCTTAAACAATCGGCCACGTGGGCGAAAGACACAAAAGTGAAAACTCACCCGGTCCATCGTCGGGCAGTATGGTTTCGCTTTCTTGGACTTCAGAGTCATCCTGCACATCTGAGACAAAACATTCAAAACATAATGAATGATGCATGAAAAGAAAAAAAAAATACATATAAGGAAATAGTAAACAAGTTGCTGCTAATACCAGCATGTGCGTGGTCTGTCAGACGGCCCACAAAACAGTAATTTCCCAAGTTCTTTTCAGAAGCCTCCATGCCAAAATTTCGTAAATTACGAAAAAAAAAAAAAGCTTTTAATTAAAGAGACCAAACAATAGTGTGCCAATGCAGACAAGATATAACTATACGATTACAAACTTCTAAAAATAAAGTTAGTTTGATAATGCATTGACTTCACATTCACATTATGCCAAAAAACAACACCATTTTTTTGGTCAAAAGATGTTCCTCAGTGGTTGGGTTTTGTTTCCAGAGGAATAGTCCAAAAACGGGGTCAATGCAAGGGCTCTATTTTCAAATATTTGGCGGAAGCACGTACAGTGCTTGCAAGTTGTTCAAGCTTAGAAGCGTTGAATGAAAATATTGAAGGTGAAAGTTGTTACCTTGCTTTCGTACGGTTTCACTGTGCCGCAGCTGCTTCTACGACATTCCGGCGATTTTAGAATCCGAATCGGTGGTACTTTACAGAGCTTCTCTGTCAAATGTAAGCTCCCGTTCCCTCAATTAAATTCTGAGAAGCGTTAAAAGTTTGAATCGGAAAGGCCGGCACTTCTATGCCACTACCGAGAAAGCTGCCTACAACTGAAGTGACCATCTCATGCGCATCACGTGTGCGGAGCTTCTAATTATCTTACAAACAAATCAAACACAATTAAAGAGTCAAACAAATAAAGAAAGATCTCCAGTCAAGAAAAACAAACAAATATACACATCGAATGCAATTATAAATCTTTGTCTCCAAGTAACCGCAAATTTGCTCGCTTTGTTCTTCAATCATTACAATGCTTTGGTATATTCCCAACTTAATTATTGTCATCTAGTTTGGGGAAATACAACAAAAACAAATATAAATAAACTACATATTTTACAAAAGAAAGCTGTGCGTGCTATTGCCAATGTTTCATACTATGATCATACTGAACACTTGTTCTCATTGTTTAATATAAAACCAATTTCAAATATTTACAGGTCCCGACATCTTGTGGCGTACAAGAAGTCTATGCAGTTCAAAAATAAAGTTTTTGAGGAATTATGTAACCTAGTCCTTTTCACTTCCTCATACCAACTATGCCCTAAAGCAAAATGGTTTGTTTCACCACCACATGTATTATTTTATAACCACATGCTAAATTCCCAATTAACTACTTTAATAAATGAATTATTTTTAAAAGGTGTTGATATTCATGCAATAACGCTGGCAGAGGTACGAGCATTATTTTAGGGTTATTTTCTTAAGTATGGCTAAGGCATACAGATCACTGTACCATTGTATATCACAATGAATGTATTAATTTCATGTTTTCTCTTGTTTTTGTTTGATCTGTGGTCTGTACATTTAAAATAGCATTCTTTCTCTCAAAGCAGCTATTTTGTCCATTTTTGAAATCGCTTAGGAATCGCCTGCTGTAAAGGGGGCCAGAGCCTCCGTCAAGCTGTTGCAGCAGCTGTTTGTTGTGGTCCCCCGTTTCAGTGATGAAACAAAATGAAGATTTATTATTATTATTATAAATTTATATTAATATAAATTTAAATTATTATAAATAAAAAAAATAGACTGTGAAGCACTTGCTAGATGTTTATGCATCCCATTCCCACCCTTCTTTTGGTTGTATTTAAAAGGAGCGCCGAGCGGTCCCAATGCCAACGACGTGGCATCCGTGCCACACAAATGGCATCGCTACGCCTTCAAAGCGCGACGGCACGAGCGGGGGGACACAGGGACGGAGGACAAATTTCTCAGGTTTAGTTCAGTCAGAACAGCAGGTACTCCCACAACATTAAGCTGCCGTTTCATTGTCAGACGTCAACGTGATCAGACTTGAGCGCCAAGAAACAGAGAGAGGAGCAGACGAGAGCGCACAAGGACATCAGAATGCAGAACTCTGCTTTTAATGATTAGTGGGTATACCAAAAGCTAGCTGCTCTGGTCTCCACTGCTCTTGTCGAATGCGAGAGATAAATGCTAGACGCTGGCGCTCCGACGCGTGCAGTGGAGAAGAAGGCAAGCTAGCTTCAAATCTACCCACCAATCGTTGCGACCAGAGCTCAGCATTCCGACGTCGCCACATGTTCTCGTCTCCTCCCCTCCCCGTTTCTCGGCGCACAACCTTCCATGCACTACACACGAGGATGCCACGTGAATCCTTAAAAGGCTCGACTTCAGCACGCGTCAGACAAGTCAGAACGGGAAACTTTTCTCGCGACAGCCCCGGACTGCGAAGCAGCCGGTTAGAGAAGAGGGTCCATACCATTGGCATTCTTCTTCCTTTTCTTGCTAATCCTCCCCGGGGCTATCTGGAGCTGATCTGGGGCAGTGTCTCCCTGAAAAAAAAAAAAAATAAATAAATAAAAAATAAGTAAAATAAAAAATTGCAAACGACCATTCAAAGTAGACTGCGATCAACAGCAAACAGCGGCAGCTCTTGCATTGTAGCAAGATGTTCTTTAGAATATATACTGTTAGCTGACGTGCTTTAGGGTATTTGCTTTACAAGCTCCTCTTTTAGCAGTATAGTTGTAGATATGGTCTGGCACAGTGATTTTACGAAAGGTGCTCTTTGGCGAGAAAATGACACTCAGACGTGCTTCTAATGCGGTGATCGCCGCAGCGGAGGGCACAACGTCTGGATCTTGCCGCCTCTGCTGCTTTACGTCCGCCACAAGCTCCCGCAGATTGTCGTCTGCGGCCCGTCGTTGACGCTTTCTCTTTGCCCCTTCCTCGCGAACGCGGGGGTCTTGACGCTTTCTGCGCTTACGCGCTGCCTCTCGTGCGTGGTATTCGGGGCCCTGCGCCTTTTGCTGTTGTCGCGCCGTCGCGGCCCTCCGTCGACTCTGCTCAGCACGACGCGCGTGCTGTTCCCGCTCCTCGGACGGAGAACGAATCTTGCGTGGTGTGGCCATGTCAGGGGAAGGGGAAGGACCGATCTATGGTTGCCCAGGGCTGCGCTTTTTCTTTGTAGGCGCGTCGGAGAACCTTCCAGCACTCCGAAGTGGTAGCAACTGCCGTTTCAGGGCTGCTTCTGTGCTGGGGGGTGGCGTGTCTCGCCATAAACGACGTGGTTGTGCAAGACGACGGCAATGGGGAGAAGATCTCACCGTGGGAAGAAGTCGTTATGATCCTACGTACGCCGCTCCCAAAAAACACTGGACTGCAACGTAAGGGCCGAAGAAAAAGTATGTAAAGAGAAACAAGCAAGAAGTCGAAACGATGCGAGAGAATGCAAACTCCGTCGTCCATTACATTGTCCACGAGAAGAACATCCATGGTTGCATGGCACATCGTAAACGAAGGATATAAAGCAACTCGCATCAAATGGTGCAGAACAGCAGAAGTGAAGGCCATCCACGCAGCATTAAAATACATAGTGGAAGAAACAACACCAGATTCGACAGTAACAATCTTCACGGACTCACAAGAAACAATAAGGGCTGCCAGATGCACCACGAAATCAGCCCTACAATAGACTTTTTTCAAAAGTCTAAGCGACATTGATGGTTGCCATTTCTTGGGCACCAAGAGCGTGACAGAATCAGAGTCCTCGCCTAATGCAGACGCAGCACCAGTCTTCAATACGAGCAGAGCTCACGCCGAACACCGACACAGCCCTCCTATCCAATACGTGCTCAGAGTATGTGATCCAGCAATGGCGGACAGGCGATGACACAGACTTTTGAGAAGGGTCCATTGCCAACGGTGCTGCGAGAGCGTACAACTGTCTCCACCTTCGCATTGCTAATGTTAGCAAGGGTCTCGGTCCCTGCATCGATGGGCCGGCGATTCGGACCCCCGCACCGCAAGACCCCGTTGGACGCCTAACAGAAGTCAAGGTCCATCTGAAGGAACGAAAATTGAAACGACACAAGGAAGATCAAAACCCTACTTCCAGAGGCCTCGGAAGGTAGCAGATGGTGCTCCTACGGAAACCAGGGACAGAAAGTGCCGCCACACCGGCCTACAAGAGGAAATGGACAGATGCCGCAAGTTTACATAAACATCCCAATTCCTACATGGGCAACATGCCCATACTGAAGGAGCAGACGGTAGCAGACTTGACTAGTCTCATGTGGGTGTGCTGCTGCTTCATGAACCAGCGGGAAGACGGCCTTGCATCAATCACTGCGCAAGACAGACCGACCGAAGCAACCCCAAGGATATGGTTGCACCCAACGGGTGACATCAGCCATAGATGCAAGATCCTGGCCTTTGTACTCGCCTACCTGAAAAGGACGAAGCTCGGGAGAGAAATCTAAGCCTCTCCCCCCTCCGCACAACCAACCAACCTTATCTTTCTAAGCCAACTTTCACCATCTGGCCCTACCATTTTGTAACTGTCAGAGAACAGTATGAAATCAATAAACGTTCCTCCACTCCACTGCAGCAGTGAGGGGGGCTATCCCCCTTCACCGAGTGCCACAACTGCGCTAAACATTGATCCTTCCCTAGCGTGACGTCACGTGCAAGGGAGCGCTACTCCCACGCCCAAGTAAGTAAAATTTGGGGGTTTTACGAGCCAAACCAACCGCGGTCATCTGGCGCGCCGCAAAGGAGGACCGAGGGTCAATTTGGACCACCCGGGGATCTTTTCACGTGCAACCGAAAGCTCGGCCACAACTTTCCGTCCGATTGCGGTCTTATGCCCACGAAGAAAAATGTACGCACCTCGCGAGAGTATCCCATGTTGACAGTCGGGACGGAGTTCTCCGTGCGCACCCCATTCGTGAAATGCTGCGAGCACACTCGGGAGTTTGGCGACGGGCAAAAGTCTTCCCGATTTACCGAGGCGACCCACTGACGCCGGAGTTCCTCGCCGGGCGGAAAGCGATGAAGCTTAAAAACATTACACCCGCACTCGCGTTGCAGGCTTCCGTGCACGCTGCAGGGCTGGTTACATGCTATTTGACGCTTCCGGTCGTTGTTCGAACAACGTAGAACCGCGCAATGGTGTCCCGATGTCCGGGAGATCGGGTACATCCAATCCACACAAGTAAAACCGAACCTACAGACAAAGTACGCGAACGACAATATATGCGAGCAAGCTCCGCACGGCCAACAGCAACACGGACCGAACCACACCGAACTCAACGTACAGCCGGTAGAGCCGTAAAGGAAGTGACTATTTCGATGTCTACCGTCAGAATATCTGCCTTATTTCGACGTCCGTGACGTCATTTCCGTCCCGAGGGGAAACATGGGGTGATGCGGAGATGCGCGTGAGGTTGTTGTCGAACCAAAGTCTATCACACACCTTGCAACTGTGTCCGAAGCTCCGGTCCAGGAAGTCACGTTTGAAGCGAGCGTCGGGCTGCGCGTGCTGCTTGGCTCGCGACGCCGCTTTTGCTGCGCGCTCGCGCTCGCGTGCAACATCGGGAGCAGCCTCTCGTTGTTGACGTTTACACGCCGCTTCCCGTTCTCGAAGGTCGGGTTCCGCCGCTCGCTTCGTACGTTTACGTTGAGCTTCACGGTCCCGAACCTCAGGTTCTGCTGCTCGACGTTCTCGAACCGCCGCTGCTTCACGTTGTCGTAGTTCCGCATCCGCCGCCCGACGTTGACGAATGGACGCCGCTTCTCGTTGCCGTAGTTCAGGGTCTGTCGCTCGCTTCAAGCGTTTGCGCTCAGCGTCGCGTGCCCTTCGCTGCGCAGCTTTGTCTTCAGTGGACGTAGCGTTGCTGTTAGTTTGTAATGTGGTGCTGACGTTTGCTTGTGCCAACCCACCAACTGACGGGACTGTTGCTTCCATCACACTTCATCGGAAGAACGGAATGAAGTGAAGTCAACAGCGGGTGAACTGAACCAGCAGCCAACACGCGCAGCTGTTGGAGAGAGGGAAGGAGAGTTGCGCATGCGTAGTGTGAGTGCGGACTACGACGCCGCATAGACCCGAGCAAGAGATGCTCCGCATCTAAAATTGTGGCTCCATTATTTCGACGTCCACCCGTCCGCTTTCGACGGTCGCAGTGGTAATGTGGTAGAAGCTCTGTCGTGGTTTTGTTTGTGATGGTGGTGTGTTGACGGATTCATGTGTTTTCGGTCGTAGTTGGCAGTGGAACCAGTGGAAATGTCTTATCCAGCGTGTGTGCGGGGGGGACTGACGTTTGGTCGCACTCTCGCTATGCATCTGGCTCCCGCCCTGTTTTCAACCGGGTTTCGTCAGCTCGTTAGATTAGATTTTTTTTTTCTTTGGTTCGTGTATAACAAGCCGGTTAACTTGGTTAACTAGGAAACGACCGGGATGTTATAGAGTGCTTACGTGTAGGAATGCGAAAGCATCACAGTTCCGCGGGTGGAATGTTTTCGCGGCCTCGCGCTTTGCAAGTTCTCGATCCTGTTGACGCTTGCGTCGTTTGTCCTCGGCCTCTCGTTGTCTAAATTCTTGATTCTCTTGACGCTTCCGACGCTTATACTCGGCCTCTCGTTTTCGAAATTCTTGATCCTGTTGACGCTTCCGACGCATAGCCTCGGCCTCTCGTTTTCTCAGCTCGGCGTCCGCGTTGCGTCTCGCGCGTCGTAAACTCGCGTGACGGGCACGCCGAGACTCCGGAGATAGGGCTTTGGTCGCTTTCGCTGCCCGCCTCTTCGCTCGCCTGGCCGCATTGATCCGCTCCCTTGCTTCCTCGGCTGTGGCGTATTTGCGTGGGCGGCCACGTTTGCATGCGGAAGCCGCCGCAGATGTATTCGCGGTCGCCTCCCAGTCCATCGCAGGCAGGAAACAGACGAAGCAGATAAAGTCCGAAGCGCCGGTGAGAGAGACGGCAAAGAAGGTGTTTGGAAAGGAAGAGATAGTCTTCTAATACAGAAAACAACCAAAAGCTATACTTTTTAAGCGAGCAATTTAAATTACGTTTTCTACAAAATAACTTTAAAAAAGCGAAAGCCCTTTAAATATTTTTTTGCGAACCCTTGAAAGCGCCCTCTCACGAGGTATGGGGGAACTAACTACTTTTTATGTCTCTTCTGTTGATTCCTTTTTAAAGATGGCGGCCCCCATGGCGTTTGGTTTGCTCCTGTCCTCGCGTTCGCCGGCATTGCTCTTCGCTTTCTTGTGATGTGCCCGTCACTCGACAACAACGGAAGTTGAATCAAAAGAAGAGAACTTGTTTCACGCGGGCAACTATCGATGCGATGGTTGAGTAATAATCCGCAAACACGCACGGTGGCACGAACAGCTCTTCATGCTTATACTGTTCAGATATTATGTCGGGAGTAGCTACTCAGTTTGAATAAAGGCACACAACTAATATAGCCAACTGATCCATAGCAACCGGTGCAAGCAATGCCTGTAAATATAAGGAATGGTCAATTTATTTTTCATAGCAGCACCGAATTCTGCTACTGCTCTTTTTATTAACAGAAGCTGGCAACACTATTGAGGAGTTTCAGCGACGGTGTCACCGCCCTGGCGGCCGGTCGCCGAAAGAGAACGAGGGGGATAGGTTCGCTGGGCGTTGGCTTTGTGTTAATGCGTTGGCCGCGAACGTAGGCTTATAAACTTCGGCAGCAAGAATATTACGCGGCTCTAGTGTTCCGGTACGAGCAACAGTGATGACACGAACTGCTACGACGAGCTACGACCACCCGCCGCAGCGATGCAGGCGTCGAAGGAGCGCAACCTGTGTACTACGCAGTCAGTCGCCGCCGTCGCCCGACGCAGGTCGTTTGGCATTCAGGACTTTCCGTCCCGGGTTCTTCGCTTGCACTTGGAACCGAGTATTATTCCCTGTGCTTCTGTGTGTGCTCAGTGGCTGGATGTGGACCTCACAGAGCAGAGTTCTTCAGACTCGACAGCGACTCAAAGTTGACGGCGGAGGGGCTTGCAGCAACGCTTTCGGTTGGTGCACGGGTGCGACGACTACACGGATAAATTTTAAAATTGCTGCTAGCAAGGTGGGCCATAGTCGCTTTATGTTGACACGATTTTGAGTGTAAGTACTCCGTGCAAAGGCGAATCTATCGCGTTTCTAATCCACCTTTGTTTTTGTTGTTGTTTTTGCGCTCGCACGACCGATTGAAAATGCTTCTGTACCAATCACGGAGTGCATGTCTTCGGCCTACATTGCGGAACGCCCAATAAAAAGTCATATTCGTTGAGCGAGCAAACTTCCCTTTCGAGTGACCTTCTTTGATTGATGATTTCGCCCGTACTTGAGTGCTTTAATCAACACGATCGATGAAGTTTGCTTCCCTAGTTAGGACATTTTTTGTGCCACATGCGGCACTAATGCTTGGCACGATGTATTCTACTGGTGGTATTGTGAATTGGTTTACTTCCAAAGCTAACAGTATGACAGGTGGGACCATTCAATTTGCTAAAAATGTGATATGGGAATGTCGTTGCATAACTAGCGTTTTACGTTTAAGATTGATAAGAAACATGCTCATATGATGACGCACGTCTACAGCATAAGCTTTGCAGATCCAGAATGGATGTGCTACAGGCTCAAGACTTTTAATGGACCAAATTGGTGATTACATGGCAATAAATATTGTGGAAAACTGCCCACTGACACGGTGAGTTTTGATCGTGACCATTGGCGTGCTGTTGGCAAATTAAAGGGACATTGCATCTAGATGTGCTTAAATATCTTTATTTCAAGGTTCAGTGGACCCCTCTGCATCATTACAGGAAGGCACTCTCAAGCCACAACAAACAGCAGTGAATATACAATGCATAATAACGGGCACCAGTGCCCAGGCGTATAGTCCACAGAAGCCAATTTGAGCGTAAAAATGTTTTTGTTTTGTTTAGATAGTTTGCATTTGGTGTATAATTCGCAGGGCCCGATTTCCGCGCCCAGTGCATAGTCCACCAAGCTGGTGCGTTGCGTCTTTGTGCTTTTTTTCCTGGGTGGCATTTTCTTCAGAAGTTCTTCGGCGAACGCTATTGAGCCTGAAGAACTGCTCTTGAGGCCCATATCTAGTCACTCGGCACACACACAAGCACAGAAAATAACACTCGGTGCCAAGTAGAAACGAAGCACCTGGGCGGAAAGCCGTGAATGCCAAACGAGCAGCGTCCGGTGACGGCGACTGACTGCGTTGCACCCCTTCGGTGCCTGCATCGCTGCGGGGGTGGTCGTAGCTAGTCGTAGCGAGATGATCTTCACTTCAAGCAAGAAATCTTGCCCTACCATAGTCAAGATATGTGTGCAAGTGTTCGACGACGTGGGCTCTCTCACGTTGGTGCAGTTGTCATCAAGAAAGGTACATAACAATGTTGAGTGTTTGAGGCTGAAACTATGACGCATACTTAACCTAAATTTATCAGTCTGTGGCTACAAACATTCTCGTTGACGTTGCTTAGATCATGTAACCATTCAGGCCTCAAATTAAATGGTGTTTCGAACTCTTCGGTTGTGTATGAAAACCTATTTGCTCTAATAAAAGACATTTTGAAAAGGACACATGTCTTCTGCTGATACATATCTTCCAATTTACAATGCAGAAGCAAACAGAAAATCAACTGCATACATCTACCACTTGGCATAAGCACCTTTTGCAATTCATTCTTGAGCTAAGGTTGCTCTTGTTTTAGAAGCTTTGCCCTGTTCTGTAAAAAGAAAACAGTTAAAAAAGCTTTACCTTCGTTCTCCTCCTCGCATTTAATAGACTTGTTTGTCAGCAGATCACACACAGCAGATATCACCGTGGCACATACAACTCGAATGACCGATGAGACTATTGCTATTACAATAAAGCTTTCCACAAGAGCCAAAATGAGGCTTGTAGGGGTGCACAAGCACATGGAAATGAGATTGGCGCTTCCGGGGCTTGTTTACATTATGCGTAAAAACAGGACGATCGGCGACCAGCTCATCGCAATATAACACCAAGGATACCGATGTTTCGATACATAGAACGCAGGATAAAGACCTCAATCGTCCCTTGTATGCTGTAGTTGTCATACTTTCCATCCAACCGCTTTTTAGCACAATTAACTAGAACAACCGAAAAGTTCGCAACACCTTCTAATGCGAGGCCTGAATGGTTACATCATCTAAGCCACGTCAACGAAAATGTTCGTAGCCGCAGACCGATAAGTTTAGTTTGAGATAAAGAACGCGTCATAGTTTGAACGCGCGAACATTGTTGATATGTACCTTTCTTTGGACCCGCGTACATTCGGTTCAACTTGATGACAGCTGCACCAGCGTGAGAGCTCACGTCGAACACTTGCACACCTATCTTGACTATGGCAAGGTTTCTTGCCTTCGACTGGCTTGAACACTTCATCTGTAGCATCACGGTAGGTCTTGGTTGAAATGATGATCGTCTCGCACACGGCAACAAACAGAGAACGACACGCTTTGTTCTATTTATACGCTACCGGTCTACGGGCGTCGCAAATCTATCCCCCTCTTGTCCGCCATGTTGGATCTATCGGAGCGCCCCCTATATTCGCTGAAACTCCTCAATATGCTAGTCAGGCAGATGTTTCAATCTTTCCGATCTCATCTTGCCGTGTTAAGGGTGCTGAATAAGCTAGGCTACGCATGCCCTTGCATGTCGAAAATAGGGGGTTTGAGAAGACGACAAATTAAAGAAGGACCTTTGTCTAGGCTCAAGGAGGAGATGGCCTTGTTCTTGTCTCAAAAGTCTTTATTTTTTCCTCCGTTTGGAGAGGGGAGGCAGAGAAAAAAAAAGCAACTCAGTGTTGCTTGACGAGCCTCTGCCCCCCTCCTACTGGCTAACACAACATGGTGGCAGTGACCGGTTAATGCCATCATCCTCCAGGTGATTTCCGAACGAATATAACTGGGCTGACGACAGCAAGCCCACAGCAACAGCTCCAGTGTTCAGGAGCGTGAAGTTAGAACTGCCACGACAGCTCCACTCTTCATGCGCCGAATGACGAGACTACTTGCACATAGCAGAACAGTTTGTGACCTGGCTCGACTGTATAAGGTTTTTCTTTGAAGTGCCTTCACAGACACCTGCAATGCCTTCGTGTTAGGTGTCCTAAAAATTTTCTCTCCGACGAATGACTGAAAAGAGCTCGAGACTGTTAGTCATGAAAAAAGTGAGCTTTTTAACCCACATTTTTCTGCAGCTACAGTGATTGCCCAACCAGTTGAGCAGAGACAGTGGCCTATGCTTTCACAGCACTATAACCTAAGACCTCATGAAGTCCAGCTTTGTTTGGCAGTCATGGGCCATGCAAGCACTTTCAAGTGTGCCACTGTGCAAGACTTTAGCATATAGACCCTTTCCGAAATTCAGTGCCATCTGGTGGTTCGTAAAGCAGTTTAGCTTTTGCCATATCAATGGCGGATATGAACTTGTATCGGCAACGTCACTTTCGCAAGTCAACGGCACGCGAGAAATTGTTCAGTGTGAGTTCTTTCTCGATCACTTTCAGTTCGATGGTGACCAAGAACCTGCATTCAGAACAAAGCTCCAACCCACTCAGATGCCTCGAGAAAATTCTATACACCAAAGTGCTTTAAAGCCAATTGTGTGCCGCCCGCAGATTGACTGAATCTGAGTTATTAGAAATAAACGCTTACGTAGCTCTTGTGTTTCATTCCTACGTCGCGTCGTACTGACCCCCCGAATGTACAGGCCTCGCATCATCCGCTTAGAAGCATCTTCAACGTCTTCCTTTATGAGTCGCTGGAAGGCCGCCATTGGTATGGCACAGATGCCTTTCCACAGATGATGATAGCGATCAAAGTGGCCAGACTGAATTTTGGGAAGGGTCTATTGAGCAGTTTACCCATCTATTTTAGAAACTCTGCTGTCTTGTGCCATCTTGTGCCTCACCTGGAACCCCGTGGGCAAGCCGTAATGAATGCAGGGGAAAGGCTGGTGTACTCCAGCCCATGTCCAAGGTAGGAAGCTCGCACTGGAGGCGGGATCACTAAGGCTCCTTATTGTTGCCTAGCCAGTGACTATACACGAACTTCACTGCTATGTCACAGCGCGGTGGGGCGCGTCGAGCGCACTTAGGTCTGGAATTGTGGGCGGAGGTCACCATGAGAAACGTGCATTCCTGCGTTGTTTTGAAAGAAGCCAGAGGAAAAACATGGCTTCTCGCCAAAACGCCGCAACCGTGGCTTTACCAAAAGAGCTGGGAAAGGTTTAAAGGTCGGTTTTCATGCATTTTTTGCCCTGTTCGGTTCATCCAAGAACGTAAACAGGGACCGTTAAAAAAGAAAAACGGAAATTAAAAACAGCGCGGAAAGACGAGGACCAGACAAAGAAGTGACACGGACGTAGCGCTGACTTACAACTGAGTTTATTGAACGCAAACTCGCAATATTTATTTGCGGTGTCACGAACAAAAGAACATAAAAAATTCAGCCCATGTGATGTATCACCAATAAAAATAAAACAATGATAAAAAACATTGAAAAAAAAAAAAAAAAAAGCGTTCAATAAACTCAGTTGTAAGTCAGCGCTACGTCCGTGTCACTTCTTTGTCTGGTCCTCGTCTTTCTGCGCTGTTTTTAATTTCCGAAGTATGTACCAACTCGCCCAAGCCTCAACTTAAGAAAAACGGACGTCGTCAGACCACGATTGCTTTAGCGGGAAACACTTTGGATTGAATTCATGGATACTTGTGGTCATCAGAGTTGTTTGTTTTGATCCAACATGAACACGGGAAAACCATCAAGTTGTACAGACTACCTGCGGACTACGTTTAGTGTGTCGTAAAGTTCAAATGGCCACCTGATCGTTCGAATTGTCTGCTCTTTCGAGCGTTTCTGCTTGTCGTCTGCTCTTTCAGACGACATTGGCTTGTAGACCAAACGTTGGCCCGGTAATTGAGATAAGACATAAGTGCAAACCTCAAGGACTCAAGTTTGCAGGATGGTTGGGGTAAGCAGGCTCAGTGTAAACAGTAGATACAAGGAGATGTTGACCATTGTTACCAGTTGCCATCACCGACTTGTTATGCCCGATTCACTTGATCCGATTCTGCTTGCGATTTTCAGTACCGATGTCGACCACCTCAGCTATGGTTCACGCTTTTGCAGCCAGTGTGACGTCTCAACTGAAAATTGCGAGCGGAATCTCATGATGCGAATAAGGCTTCAGCGTCCATTTTGCGGCGTCCACGCGGAATGAATCGCTGCATGTCACATTATTCATGCGAAGTTTTGCGGTCTAATGAGCCTTGGTAACTTCGCTGAGGCCGCTCGAGTGGTCAGATATTGCCCGGAAGCTTCTTGCCCATAGTGTCACTGGATAGGTTTTCAGAGTACCGCAACCACAACAGAAAAGTCTGGTAACGCTGTGCAAAATCCTTCATGTTTCATCCAGCACTTGAGACAACCAGCCGCGCTGCTCTGTGAAGCGTGCGGTTTGTGTTTACGGATTTCCGTGTTCCGTATATTTGCTAAATGTGTTCAAGAAAAAGAAAAGAACTGTTGACAAGAAGTACCAAGAACAGGGTGTGAACGCAGTTTCGTGCTATTAATGCTTTTTGGCAGCAACAGGGACGCCAGGAAGAGTTCTCGTTCGCCGAATGTGTTCAACGTTACTGCTGACCAAAAGTGCAACGACGCTACCAAGACTCTACTGATGTGTTGCGTCACAAAAAAAAATGTTTTCTTACGACTAGCACCAGAGGACTTGATCGTCGATCTAAACTGCCTGTACATGGACCTGGGTTGGCACCGCTTTGGGAAACGACAGCTGTTCAGCGGTGAGCTTGTGTTGCTATCGGAAGCTCGTGGTTTGCGTTCAACAACCCGAAGACTGTCGGGCACACCACCGTGGATACAACCTTAATTTGCTGCGATAACTATTAATCTGTGTTTCAAGCCCTTGCAGAGTGTAGCGCTACAGCTCATTGTCTAAACATGTTGTAGCAGGACCCTCCATGGCGGTAGTTCCGTCCACGTGACCAGAATTGGCGAATGTGAAGGCGAGCGGCGAAGGGAAAAGGAATGCAGTACTCTGAAAACTTATCCAGTGACACAACTTGCCTACACTCCATCGCGCATGCGCGGTGCCGGTGGCGTTCGCTAGGGGCGCTCCGGTTTGTTCGGAAACATGAGTTGGTCTACAAATCAGACTCGCTTTCGGCGTGCCCATCGTGCAAATGGTGAGGAGATCACATCATGTGGGCCTCACCTGCGTGGCGTAGTTTTCCGACCCCAGACGGTCACGGACGTAAGCGTCCACGACAGGCGTCTTCGCCAACTGCTCGTCGGCAAGCGCTCGCTCGCCGAATCGCACCGCCACCACACACCTGTCCCAGGCCGCAAAGCGCTGCCGTAACTTCCTAAGTGCCCGACGCTCGGCTTGCTTCCTGAGAAACTCGTCGTACTTCGGCCCTTCTTTGAGCCGCCGCCACCGCTCGCGTGTGGTCTCAGCTTTCTCGCCCCTCTGTCGACGCGTCGCCAGCGCCTCGGGCTTTCCCTCGTACAGCTTTTCTCGTTTCCGTCGCCGGTATTCGCGCTGGAGTTCGGCCTTCCAGGCTCTTCTTTTTAGGACCGTCTCGCAGTCCTCGCGCGCTTCCTCTGCTTTTTTGCGACGCCGGCGCTCACGCTCGGCTGCGGCTTTCCTGGCCCTCCTTCGAAGTTCAACGAGCGCGTATTTGGCGTCGTCTTCGCGTCGGCGGATGCATTCTTCGGGAGACGGGGGGGCTTCGGTGCGGGGACGACGGGAATTCCCCATCTCCGAGTTTTCTCCGAGTGAAGTTTGTAGGATCCGCGGGGGCAACCGCTCCACCTGCTCGCTCTGTTCCGATGCCAGAACTGGCCGCGAATCACCGCACACGCGTCCGCACCAACCGCACCACCGTGATCCACACATCATGAGAATGCGAGCACCGAGGCACTGGGCACCAGCGGTACATGTCAAAGTTGGCTGGGCTGATCGAGACATGAGAAGTGTGAACTTTTGGGCGCGATTCCACGCCGGCTTCCAGCTTCACTGGCTTCACTGTGGCTTCACTGGCTTCACGGCTTCACTTGCCACCAGCACGCGCAGCCCACCGCAGCCCACTACGACAGCTAACGACAACTTGCGCGCGGAGTCAAAACATGGTGGTGGCGCCACATTGCACATAAACGCTTCAGAACTGGACTGAAGGCTTCGCAGTATTGGGGAGATCAAAATCTACGCACTATTTACGAGAAACGGTTTCGTAAACCATTGTCAGAATTATCTAAAGCCCGTGGTGAAAGGATACCGCGTAAAATATTAGGAACAGGGCTACTCGATGGATGGCGGTAGCGTAGAGCGCCTAGATTAAAGAAAAGTTCAACTCAAACTATTCCGCGGTTTCTGCGCGCGCGCGCGCGCGAATTGGGCATGCGCGGAAGTAAACCACGTGTCCCAAATCAAGCAGTTGGAAACACTCTGTTGGCGAATTCGGGTGGTCAATCGCCGGCGAGCTCACGCCGGCGGCACAGGCAACGAAAACCGCGCCAGCGGCGCCCCACGTGACCCTCTCCACCCGAACACAAAGCGCCTGCAACTGGCGTTTTCGTCTGCCTGGGCCGCTCGTGAACTTCGTTAACTTCTTCCACGATTATTTTATGATACAATAGGCATGCTCTAGGCATCAGCAACATATATTCGGACTCTGAGACGTGGGTAAACAAATTGTAATATATTTTGTTTAGATTCTCGAGGAACTGTTGCCATCTTACAAGGATCCTAGAAGGCTCACCAGCGTCGCCATTTTATATTCCATTTTCTTGTTATTACCTTTTTGCTGGAATCCTCAGCATTTTGATTTGACCCAGCCCTCTAAAATAGTAATGCGCGTTCAAGTGTCGAGCTGCAGCACTATCAATACATTTTTTACAGCGGTGTAATAACACGCTGTGTCCCATAGGAAACTGATCTTGCGGAAGCTTCCTTTAAAATATTTTATCTTTATCTCCGTTGCTTTTGCTGTCTTTCTCGGACCACAGAGGGGTGTCTGTCTCAATGGCTTCGTTTTCTACTCGAATCCGCTATCGGCGACCATTGTTTCGTTTGGTTCCCTTTCCCGATTCGGATATGACGATACCGGATACAGTCTGGCAGACAAGCTGCCCGACCTCTTGGAGCTCGGGCAAAAATTGTGCCGGTAAATTGCCAGCACACGCCTGAGAACTGCCACCCGAACGGCGCGCACTCGCCAGCCTTTGACCACGCGAACGCCCTTGGCGGAGATATGGCAAAATATTTTGCCGGGAAATGACCACGCGAATTCGCCATGTGATACACCCTTCTCTACGTTCTCGCGAGCAAACGTCGCACTCCGTCAACTCTTTGTAATGGGCGGTAGCTTGCGCCACCTAGCCCAAGTCCAAGCAGTGAAAGTGTCCCAACAGTGGGAAAAGCTAGAACAAACCAAGAAACTAAAACTTTTACCTGTGTCGGCAATCTAAACCTTTGCTGACCCCCCTGTCTCAAAAGGGGTTAGGTACCGCTAACGACTTAACTAACTAGGCAAACAGGATTTCTCCTGCCCTTCTAAGACAACCTTCTCCCTAACTATCATCAGGCAGTGTGAGCTCAACTTATCCTATGCTGCCCATATATCGAAAGTGGTGCCGAAGTGGCAAAAAATGGCGTCACAGAAGCCGGAGTGTGTCATGCTAGGGCGGCTCTAGTGAGGGTGGGCGCAACTGCTTGATGGGGGTCACGGGATATGGATGCCATTTAATTACTAAATTTTGCTGGGAAGGGGGAAAGGGCCGTTTTATTTCCTGACTCAGGTCATAAGAGCCCATTAATATGCTTAAATAATTTATGCAGGTTATAAATGATAACTTTTCTATAGCCACCACTTTTGCTCCGATAGGTTAAGAATTTGTTTAACGTGAAAAATGGTAAATTCCACCAGCTTGGACGTTGCTGCTTGTCTGGCAACCCTGCTTTCTCTTCTCGACATTTATAATTTCCAGAGCGAGAAGGAAAAGAGAAAGGCTACGCCAAGGCATTCGCTGCTTGCAAGGGGGGGCGAGAGAAGGAAACGCAGATGGGCAACAGAGTTGCAACAGAGCGGGCGTCTGCTCTCGTGCAGGCAACATTGGCGCATATTCTTTCACAATCCTCTCCCTCAGGCGCCACCATTAAATTGCAAACGCTGAGTTGCGCCCACCTTCACTACTGTCTGAGGTCGCGATCCTGGCGGTTGGTCGCACAAATGCTGGTGGAAAGCACGAGCGAAAGTGAGTGTCGCTGTCGTTGCGGCGTCCCAACTTCTGGCTGCCGAAACTTCCATGGACCGTCACACTGGAGAGCGACCGGCAGCAGAACAGGCGTCTGCCACATCTACCACCGCTGCTCGGACACCGTCGGGGTCGCGACCGGAGACCGTATGAAACTTCTACGACATCATCAGGCGGAAATATAGGGGCCCTTTTTTGGACGCGGTAAACACATCAGTCGGAAACGCGTTCCAGGCGCCATAGTTCGTTTTTCTATCACATTGCCCCCCAATAATTTTTATCAACATAATTAGAATACAACTTGGACCTGTCGATGAGTTGATGTGCCACTGTTCTGTCACATGAAGGCACTCTACTCTGCCATGAGCTGCCACCTGCACCCCCCTAAGAGCCGATTACCCTGAGGGGGCGTAGCCGGAGGGGGGGGGGGGGGGGGCTTATGGGGCTTCAGCTTTCTTGAAATCCAGTCGACCCTATAATATATGCATGCATTTTGACCCCCCCACCCCTCCCTCTCTGCACCCTAAGTCACGGTCATTCCAGCCATAACCCTTCATTCACATAGTCGCTGCTCCGCGGATCTGTTATCGTCTCCTTCGCCGGAGGAAGCGATCAGCAAAGTCTCCAGACCGGAAGTTCTCTGCTTCTTCGTGGATGCCGAGAAAATTATCTCCTCGGCAAATGGCGAGAACCGAAAAGTGCCGAACATGTCAAAAGAAATAAATGGTAACCACTACCCGCCTATTTCGAAGAAGAGAAGGCACCGAAAACGCGGAACCCCGTTCGGGACTTGTCTGCAGCTATTTGGCGCCTTCACACTCTGCTGCGTGCGGTAAGTAATACAGTAAGTAAGAAGGATTGTTACGACAACTTCCCGTGCGAAGTATGAATAATGTGTTTTCAAGCAACAATGACGCCGATTCGTCACCTAATGTGCACACCCTGAGGAACGAGCGGGTCGGGGCTTCCGAATTCCAAAGAGCGGAGCCAGTTCTCTACGCCCGCTACTCGAGGACAGTGTACAGAAGTTTAACTAGTCGAGAACGTCGATACCTCCACCCAATGAGGTCGGGGCTGGATTGCGGGACAGGCGGTTGACCATAATCTTGAGCTCCGGTTAAACAAGGCGGGATCTCCGGCATTTTAAATGAGCTCGTGCGCAGTCAACATCCCTGGGTTAGAGGGTACCGCTCTTTTTTCGCGGTACCTCACGTAGCTCCACGAATCGCGCTTTCGGTTGCGGGGTGTTAGGTCGGAAGGCAAACTGCGGACTAAAGAACGACAGTGGAACTAGGAATTCACTCCAGGGATGCCACTTTCGTGCCACGGTGCACATAATTTGTCCAAGCTTGCACGAAACTCAACTGCCCAATTTTTCCAGTCGGACGGCAACGAAAACACGCGGACCGCAGGAAAATCAGTCTGGTGTGGCTTCAGCCGCGGCTGACGTGCACACATGCCCTGCCAAGCAGCTGGTAATCACATTTTAACGCAAAGAATTTCAACATCGTATCGACAAAATATTTCGCTTGGGATTGTATTACGTCCTACTAAAGCGATATCCTTAACCATAGGGGGTGAAAGGTGTCGTGGTCGAGATAAGGTTGATTTAACTGCGTAGGTTTATTTTAGCATAGCAATACAGGTACGTTTGAGTCGTGCCATGTCTGGTCGCGATTTCGTGGAGAGAGGGTCTGCGCGCGGAAGCGGCGGGGTCGGTAGACGCTCAGACTCCAAAGGAAACTCTCCTCCTATGACGACAATTTGTTTCTCGTGCAGCCAAAGCCGGCCCAAGGGCAACGAGCGCACGATGGGAGCGGAGCTTCTAAAAAATTCTTAGCCTGTCGCGACTATAGGTTTGGTGTGGACTTTCAGCGTAGTTTCCTTTTCAGTATCCCACCGACTTTTACTGAAAGCTTAATGATAGTCAGGTCCCACCCGGCAGTGTTGAGAAAGCAACAAACAGTGAATCCAGCCGGAGAATCATGCAGACGCCATCGCAGCAAGCTCAACTTCAAAATCTGAAGAAAATAAAAAACAACCGCAAAAACGTCGCCGAAAACCCATAGATAAAGTCTAGGAATGTATTCTATGTATAAAAAAATGAAGTTGGCAGGCCGTTTTTGTAACTTGCACCAGATGTAATGATTAATAAGCCAGTGATAATTTCTTTTATCAGCTTTAGTCAATAGGCCTGTTTGATGGGCAAAGTGCTGTGGACTACGCTCTGTATCGCCGTAACTTGGCAGACGGCGAAGGGTATGGTCCCAGCGAGCCAATCGGTGCATTGGAGAGAGGCGCGTCGCTCTATTCGATCTCATTAGTAGCGTGCAGTGCTGTCAAAGTCATGGCCGGGAGAAAGAGGAAAGCACTTTTGTACAAATTTTGAGTGACGGGCTAATCTTCCAGGGGGGAAAAAAGCAACGTCTGGGACATACAACAGAGGATACGGGTACCAGAGGAGTTCCCCCTTCCCCACTTCTCCAACTGCTTGGGTTATGCTCTCCCCTTGTCTTTCATCAAGAAATTCGGCAGATTTGTTTAAGTGCTGGAGCGTGCCTCAAGGGGGTAAATTATGTTTTGCTCACTTCTCGTTCTTGTCCCCTTGTTGTTTTTTTTCGCGCTGTTTCCAAGTTTGCCCTTGTATCCTTGGCGAGTGCTGTCCCCTGCTTTGCCCCCATTGCTCCGACCATAGAGTTATTACAATAAACGCTAGAGGCTCAGCTGGCGCTAGTGTGCTGTTGCAAATTGAAGCAGACAGCAAGCAGTCAGAAATTGACTTCCGGTAATGCATTTCTATGGGAAAAAGCGAGTGCATTTTCTCTCTGCGCTCGATTATAAGAGCAAATATCACGAATAATTTGAACGTACTAGGCACATTGGAACATTTCTCAGTCACGCAGACGAAATAATTGGTGAGGTACAGCATTTTTATTTGAAATTCGCGGCATTAAAAACGGTGTTAAAACCGCTTCGTACGTGTATTTATGTGCACTGTCGGACACTGTTAGCGCGAACACGGCGTCGACACTTTCCAGCATGGGGGATATACGTGCCAAACGAACGAACGACATGTGGAAAACCAAGAGAGACGGCAAGAACTACGCAGTAACACTGGGTAAGTAACTCCTTGTGCTTGCAGACGATCAAAATAAGTTGAAAGTCACGTAATATAGTCCGACTTGCAATAAATAAGTACTGCTTTATTCTTTCTGCTTAGCGAAGATGCTTGTTCTGTGTTCAAATCATCACCCGCACTCTCCAAATCTTTGCAAATAGGGGAAAGCCAGAGGACAGGTGCGCGATAAAAACTGCCCAACATAGTAAATAATAAGAAAACACACCTTTCGTAGCCAACACACTTTATTCTTTACGTTTCGAACATTTTTTTTTAACCGCTCGTAGAGATGCACGACGGGGTCATTTTCATATAGTGAGAGGACGGGCATATTAGCAATATATAAGCACCAACGGAATGCTGGCTAACTTTGAACACACTCTACATTCCTTTCGATCGTTGTTTTGCTTAGAATCGTCGCTCGTTTCTACATACCTGCCATGGAACAGAGGTTTGGGCCTAAAATATAGCGAAATTTAGCATCGTTCAGTGGTAAAGGAAAAATGCTGTAACTAAAGCAATTACACTTTCACAATATTAATAAAGGTACATACTACCCGGTACAACCGAAATAACAAAGGTTATTAATGTTATTTTCCGGCGACGAGACAAAATTCACGCGCGTTTTCCCATAGGAATACACAGGAAGACTGGAAAAGTAGACTGCATGCTGTCTGCTTCAATTTGCAACCGGAAGTCCCATAGACACTAGCGCCAGCTGAGCCTCTAGCGTTTATTGTAATAACTCTATGGCTCCGACTGGCTCAAAGGGGCCCTAACGCTCGCTCTTCGCCGAGAACTGGTGAAACAAAAGTTTTGTAGCGCAGCCCCACTGTGTGGCAGCGAGAGCTCGTTCCTGAACTACCCAAACTGGAGGAGTCAGTTCAAGAGAACTGGAAAGACCCAATGAACACCCTGCAGTCATAAGCAGGACTGTTCCAGTAAGTGACGACGGAACACCGAACGCACAGTGCACGCTGTCAAAAGGAATGGACTTGGTAGCAAGCTCACCCAAGTGGAGCCTCCAACAGGGATGCAGATGCTAGATGTGGCTACTGGACTCGTCGAGGCAACTGATCCCAGTGGCACCTGGTTGGGCTGCGCATAAAAAAAAGGATGTGATGAACGAGTGTATCAGACTTTCCAGTGTACAAGTCGTGGCGGCGTTATTTAGAAAATTTATGGCGGTGTGTCTTGCACAACAGTGCGGCTCCTCTGCATTTCCTCTTTCAAGTTGAAAGGATTTAAAGTTTCTGTTTGTTATACCATTTATGTTTGTTTGTTTGTTTCTTTAACTCTGGAGAGTTGGGTCACTGTGAATGAGGCGTTACGCCCATACCGAAAGGTGCCACTTTCCCCCACTGCGTAATCGCAAAGGAAAAGAATTAATTGGCGATCAGTGGGACTCATTGGATGGAAATGCGCTAGCATTAGTTCTTCGTAACCCTTTTTTCACCTCTTTCCATTCATTTACGACTCTTGTTTCACCCCTTTTAATTTTATTTTCACTCCATAGATCCTTTTTATGCCACAGTCTATGGCACACAGAGCATACTTGGCCAAATGGATTCTCCAGAAAATCCCGCTCGAAGGTGTTCGTAGCCCCAATGTGTAGTTGATGTTGGCGCTCCGCTTCCGCGACGTCGGCCTCCTTTTGCCGTAGTACAGAATCCGCTTTCCGCCCGCGTCGCTTCGCTTCGGCCTCCGCTCGAGTAACTGTACCCGCTACAGTTACTCCAGCGTCCGCTTGTCGCCTGCGTCGCCTCGCGTCGGCCTCCGCTAGGCGTAGTGCAGAATCCGCTTGCCGCCTGCGTCGCTTCGCTTCGGCCTCCGCTTGCCGTAGTGCAGAATCCGCTTGCCGCCTGCGTCGCTTCGCTTCGGCTTCCCTTTGCCGTCTCGCAGAATCCGCCTGTCGCTTGACCCGCTTGGCGTTCGCTTCGGCTACTAAACGTTGTTGCCTTTCCTCTTCGCTTAGCGCCGCACGCTTCAGACGCGCCGCCTCTGCTTCAGCTACTAAACGCCGTTTTCTTTTCTCTTCACTTTCCGCCGCACGCTTCCGACGCATTGCCTCTGCTGCTGTTGCCAAACGGTATTGCCTTTCCTCTTCGCTTTCCGCTGCACGCTTCCGTCGCCTTGACTCTGCGGCAGCAGCCAAACGACGCTTGCGTTCTTCCTCAGTCTCGGCTTGACGCCGCCGAAGCGTGGCCTCGGCTATCTTCCGTCGACGCCGTTGGACACGGTCTTCCATGTCATTCGTAGAAAGAACAACATCCATACCACTCGTGGAAGGAACAACATCCATACCACCCGTGGGAGGAACAACATCCATACCACTCGGGGGAGGAACCGCATCTATCCCTTTAACTGGTCACGCGAATCGCAGCCCTCGCACCGCTTCTACGGAAACCCGTAGCAAAGAACACCCGGCGAACGGCAACTGAGCACGACCGCATTCTTCCACCGCGCCGCGGCGCCTCCTTCAGCGCCGGGGAAAGAGGGAGAGGGTCACCCGTGCTGACGTCAGCGCTTCGGACCAATAGGAGCGTCCCACGCGTCATTTCCTCTCTCAATCTCTCCCACGTGCTGGCAAACTGACAGACACCGCCGGGTTTTTGTAAAAACAAACATACTAATGCTAACAACATACTAATGCTAACACATAAAACAAAACAAAGAACAAACTTGCCGATATACAGTTACGTGGGGAGGTTACGTGAACGACTGTGTCGCGTCAGTGGGAGTACACTGAAGCAAACGAAACCAATCCCCGTCTGCTGCTACACTCACCGTCAGCCACGTGGCGAACCGTCTTTTGTCTTGATTGCTCGCTCGCGACATTCAGCGATTCTAATCTTGAAAAGTTGACAATTGTGGAGGGGAGCCGCTGGGGTTTTTGAAGACGGAACCCAATGGGAAACCAGGTGGTCCCCCAATGACGTCGCTTGAAAGACAATGCGAGAGTTGAGGGGGACTTTGGCCTTCGGTTTGTTTCATTTTTTTAAGTAAAAGCTAGCACGGGCAAGAAAAAATGTTTTTCTATTCGTCATTTCATGGGTGACTGATTAATTCCTGCAGTTAATTGGTAAAAGTCAAAAACTCGTTGTACTGCCCCTAACTATGAACATTTGCAGCAAGAGTCATATTGCCCGATCGATTTGTTGACAGGAATATTGAAACTGCCTCCTGCAAAGGACGCAAACGTGGGACACACCGCACGGATAGAGTTTGGGATCCAAAGCGGATGCAGCACTCGTTCGTGTCCAATCTCGGCAATCGCCTCCTTTTGACGACGTAGAAAATTCAGCGCTGCGGCTTTCTTACATGGGGCGTTTTCGGCGGCATAATTTCGTTCGCCAGTTTGTTGTCACGAGCTGTCTAGCACTTGCTAAAGGCGAATATTTCGACGCCCTCAAATCAGTAGTACACTAAAGCTATTAGTTTGATCGTGACACTTTTTTTTCTCTTCCAATAAATAAAACATTTTCTCTCTCACTCACTCTAACAACAAAATGGCGGATCGACGTCGTGTGAAAACGCCCTAAAGGGGGTGTTGAGTATACGTCCACGTTACTACATTAGCTTGGTTAAGGAACTGCCCATAAACGCTGCTTCCACGAGCAGTAATGTCCACCCCCCCACCCCACAGCTCATGTTCCGTCGTTCAAAGCGCCACCGATTTGAGGATGGCTGCTATGGAAACTGCGATGTATATTCCACGGAATGCCTGTTTTTAAGCAAAGCGTTTAGAGGGTGTTTCATCACACTCCATGGAAGGCACAGCTCTGAAACGAAAATCTAGATTGCGCTTCGAATGACGGGAGGCAGACTGATGGTATCAACCAAGAGGCAACGACGCATTCGCCTTTCTTTTCAATAAACATAATTACTACCACTACTAAAGGAAGTGAGGGGAATGGGGGGTGTACTCCATTTCGGGGGGAGTTCCACAACCGCCATAACCTAGTAACGTTGGTATACGCAGGGATAGTGGACATCCATAGCGAAATGACGAGAACACATTTGGACGAATCCGACGCTAGGCAAGCACCCAACCGCTTGCAGCCAAATGGCTCGCAAAAGGGCACCTGTCGGTATCCCGTGGCCACTTTCACTGTGATCCTGGCCCCTGCAGCCCTCCACAGAGCAGCAAGTTTTTTAGCAAACCGACATCTTAAAATCGGCGTCTACCCGCACAAACAAACCAATGAAACGAAACGAGACATGGTTGGGGTGGGCCCGTAGGCCGGTAAGGCAAATCCCGGACAGAAGCTCGCCGGAGTTTTTGCAGACACGGACAAAGGCTCACCGCTTACTTGTGAGCCCGGATAAAATTTTCTGCTTTTCTACATGAGCTCAAATAAGATTACGGATTAAGTGGCACAATCTATTAAAAAGTGTGCTCAAATAAAATGCCAAAGTAATCGGTACATTCTATTAAAAAGTATGTAAAATGATAAAAATGATGTCTATTGTTCAAGTCTCTAAAGGCCAATACAGAATCCCACTAACTCCAGCCGTTTCAGCACGTCTCTGTGAAGCTGATAGTCCACAGACAACTTCCTTCGGGAGGTTCTGAAGACGCTTCGTTGCTTTCCGAAAACTCTTCACCAGGAGTTTCCCTTGGCGTACTTGTAGCAAAGCTATCGTGATCAACACTTTATCCTGTTGAAAACATTCTATCAGCTTCCAGACACTTGGATGGCTGTTCTGCACTTGAATGGTTGTTTGGAACCTCTTGTCCTACCCTTCACACGAGTTATTGGTCCTGTCCTTGACCCTTAGCGCGGCCTCGTGCTCATTCCGCAGCTCCGAAGGAAATTCTGGTCTGGTTTGACCTCAGTTTTCAGTTAACCGGGCCGAAAGAATATACTTTTCAGAGGCCTGTTGAAGCAACCCCATTTAGCCCATAGTTTAGCCCAGCCCATCTTACCCCGAGTGAACTTTTGTCCGGCTTATCAAAAAAAGAAATTAAGATTTTGTCCGGGTCTGCCAAAAAATAGGTGAGCTTTTGTCCGGTGAGCTTCCGTCCTGCTACCGGTAAGGCACTGCCCGCACTGCTACGATAACATGTTTCCCCGCAATGCTTCTGACAAAGACTACTTGAGGCAGTTGTCTGATTTACACAATGCCCGTTGAGGAACGACTCGCGCTCAGCAAAATTCCGGAGTTGAGATAAGCAGGGCATGCTCCTGGCACCCGTTCGCAAATGCTGGCAGCATTTGAAATCTGCTCTGCAGGCGCCGGCATCTTTTCTGATTTATGCACAATGTCGTTTGAAAGACAGTCCCGAGTTGAGGGGTAGTTGAGGGGCGGTGGCTTGCGTCACCTAGCGAATCTATTTAAACCGTGAATGAGGCGCGCGTAACTAAAGACTTACTCATGCCGCTATGCCAACCACAATTTTACGTCGCTTTCAGACACCTTTAAAGGGATACTTCAACGAAATTTGAAATATTCCCGTCGTGTTCAAAAATAGGTTGAATATGATCCACAATATCCGTAAATGACAATCGCACGTTTGTATTTTGAGCCTGGTGGCTGTATTTTTCGTTATAAACGGCCCACTCTGGCAAGCGCTTGGAGAAGGCCCAGTGGAGACCACGTGACATCCAACGCAATCGTGACGTAGGTCGTCTCAGGACGAGCAAAGCTACGGCGAGGCTGACGTCGAGAGGATGGCCTAGTCGTTCCAGCCACCGAAGCGGCTGCTTTTGTACGAATTTTGAGTGACGGGATAATGTTCTGTAATCTTGTAGGGGGACGATAGCAACTTCTGCGACACACAAAAGGCATTCTCGGGAAGAGGGGAGTTCCTCCTTCCCGTCTTCCCTCATCGTGGCCGGAGGCGAGACAACCTCCGTCACTAGCTGTCAAGGTTCCTAGACGGGCATTACAAGCGAGGCGTTAGCAACATCCACCAGGTGCTCTTTGCTAATCGTTCAATTTGTTTTAAAATTTCTTTCCGTGACTTTTTTAACAAGATATTGGTATGTTCGATGTGATGCTGCTCCTTTGAACACATATAAACCAAAAAATGAGCGCCGAAATTTCGTTGTAGTATCCCTTTAACATTGTGTTTTTAAATAATGAGTGAAGATACGATAAGCCATGCCAGCAAAGTGGCCACTAGGTGCATCTAGCAGCAGGCTCACTATGGGTTACCATGGCAACTTCTGGAGGCTCTCAAGCCCCAAATGGAGATCACTGTTGGCGCTTCCAACGTATTTCGTTCACCGACCTTGCCAATTAACTCTTCTAAGTAATTCTAAGTAATTGTTTGCCGACGCAAACCCCTGCTAATTGATGCCGTTTCTTGTAGTAGTGTCTGCTTGCAGCGTCTTGTTCCCTCACACGATCCTCTATCATAGCATAAAGAGGCCGCTTTGCTTCTCTGTCCTTGGCATGACGCTGTTCCCTCTTTTCCGGCGTCTCATTGGCACGATGAACAATCTGAGCTTCAGCGTGCCGGCGCTTCTCTTCAGCGACGTCTTCTTCAGACCGCTCCTTTTTTTCCTGCGACGCATCCTAGAGACGAATATCGCATAGAGATTGAACCGTTTCGCCACCATCCGGCCGAAATTGAGAATATGCGAAAGCAGAATTTTTCCGTACGTCGTCTGCTACGGGCGCGCATTCATAAGCATGGATCTCGATGACACAGGCCCATTTCCGGCTGAGCTGAACCCTCCTTATCAAATGCCTGTTTTTGTTGTTTTTTCTTACTAAACGTTGTGTTGTATCGTATCACAGGCGTGGAGATTGAACAAAGCGATAAATATTAGTTCAGATGCTTCAATAATCTTGCTGCTGTGGTTTGTAGAACCGCTGGCCCTACATATATTTGTTATCTCGCACACTCATAGCTTTCATGAAACAGTGATTGTTGATTAGAGCTGGGGGTTGATTAAAAAAAATTAACCCGAGTGGTCGCCACTCTCTAACAGACTAATCAATCCATAAATCCGTTAGTTGATTTTTCTAGTCGCATTGCTGGAAAGAGGATAAAAGTACAGATTGTTGTGCTAGTTTTATTATATCCTAAATGGCATGTTGCAGTCCCATTTCAAACTTCACGTTGTGATGCCTACAGAAATATGAACACAGGAAGCCTTTTAATTTGGAAGACATTTTTAAGTCGTAATTTAAACAGTAGATACAATTACAATTACAATCACAAGCATGCTGAAGTGGCTTACCAGGAAGCCTGTGAATTGAAAGCAATAAAGTCGTCAGAAATATTAAAACAGCCAATTCTTCACTTTTTCTTTTTGTCCTAACTCTTAGAAGCACAAGACTCCAATTAAACGGCTAAAGAAGATGATCGCAATTTAAGCATCACTTGAATAATCTGAAGAATAGTCAATCAACGGCCCAGTCTTGATATATGTGTAAGGTTTGGGCGGAGGGAATTATCAAAAGCCTGCGTCGTGGTGTGGATCGTTCGTTGGAGTCGCAGAGTCTGCTATGTTTCAATGGAAGAGGATTTACGTAAAAAATTTGAGCCTGTTGACATCCGTGGCCCTCCCCAAAACATTGAAGCGGGTAAACCCAG